CCAGATTTTTTTTGCCCCCCCCCCCCCCCCCTAAAAACTAAGTCTTGATCAAATACTTTGACTTAGAAAGATTGAAAAAAAATAATTATGACCGCAATAGAAAACTAGATAGCCTTGGTTTATAAAGGTTTCCAATGGAAGGGTGAAAGCAAGGAAAAATAAGGAAATAGTTGAAGGAGCATGGAGTTTTTTGTTATTTCTGAAAATGAATATTGAATAGTACTTACCAATAGGGTAACTGATCCATCTATACACAGCCGTTTTTCAACTCTGTTGTATTCACTTGAAGAGGAACGTTAATATTTTCTAGGGATTTTTCAGAAAGAACCATCAAGGATAAGAGAATAAAATCATCATTGAAAATGATATACGAATCTTATGAAACCGCTACTTGTGGAAATAATGCAGGGTCCCCCATCTATGACCACCAGGCTGGTTTAGAAAAGACGAACTTCGAAGGGTGGGTTTTGAAAGGGACTCAGATGAGATTGGCCCATCTATTAAATTCCTAGTTGGGCCTTTCGTTGCAGACGCGAGTGGTCTAGATGCCCATGTGTAAGTGGACCAGATCTTCACCATCACGAGTCATGCTTTGGGCTGTAAAGACCCATAAAACAACTGACCACCAGGTCCATAGTTATAAAACCATGGTGTTTCATATCTGAACGGAGAAACTGGTAAAAAGATTAACTAGAGACGTTGTGTTTATGTAAAGTTTCAACTGATAAAACCAGTCTCCTTATATTATGCAAGGACATTCTGAGTACTGCATCAAAATTAACCATATGTGCTGGATGTATGGTTGCAACTCTGAATCAAGTAGGGACAAGGGAGTACAGATAATTAAGAGAGCGTGACAACCAATCTAGACACCGTACATGCTGGGTTATCTATTGATCTTTCTTACGCGAAATATATAAAGATCAGATGACAGCCCCGGATAACCTCTACTACAGTGATGGAATCTGCCTCTCTCTCTCTATACACCTGGATAAATTTGCATCAGGTCAATGATGCGAAGTACCAAGACGACAAACTTGCAATTTTATTGGATTGGAGACAAACGCGATCTTTAAGAGCCATGAAAGAATGAATAAGAAAAGAAAAGACCCTTGTTTACAGCGTTAGTTTCAAGGCCAAAAATCCCTTTGTTGTTTTAAAATTTGCACCAAGTGCATGCGTGTGTAGTGTAAATTACTATTACTGATGTATCAAACGCCCTCTTAAAGTGCAGGGAGGGACAACCAAGCTATAAAAAGTAGATGGGGGCCGTGGCTTCTTTCAATTCAAGGGCAGAATCATGTCCCTATCATTTTTGCCAAATTATGAGTAATAATAGCTGTAATATCATGCTGGCTACATACATGCATTTGTTACCAAATACTTTATTAGGAGCTATAAATTACATGAGCCACCGAGTTCTTGATATGGAGTTAGGACCTATGAAGTGTTCTGTGCAATATCTCAAAGACCCGTTGCAGATGAGCCTTCAAATCCGCGATTCTTTGCAATAGTAGGAACAGATAATTTTTTAGCCTCAAATCCAATAAACAAGTGAGGAAAAAATATCTAAAAGAAAAGGGCTAAAAAGGATCGTGTAAAAAAAAAAAAAAAACAGAATCAGCGTTCAAATATTCTGATTGGCCAAGTTTACAAGGATTTGTCAGGTTGGAAATAATAAAATATATATTCCATGACATGGCAAATGACACTATTCACTCAAAATTAGTCAATCACGGAGTTACAGCATGTTTGACATGTCAAGCAATTTAGCGAATCACTTTAATCTTAAGAATTGTGTGTGTTTTGGTTTTGAGGTTTGAGTTTTGGATTTATGCCCATCCATGAATGCATGCATGACATGTTTTTTTTTTCTTTTTATCAAAAGCATGATTATTCAAATAAAAATATGCAAAGCAATTGTAAATTGAAAAAAAAAATATAATATTTTGATTATTTTTATGTGACTTACAAAAAAAAATAAAAAAATAATTAATTGGAGGAGATCATAATACAGAAATTAACAATAATAAAAATAATAAAATATATGTTTCATGACATGACAAATGACACTAATCACACAAAATTAGTCAATCAAAGTTACAATATGTTTGACATGTCAAATAATTTAACTAATCTCTTAGTTTTTCTATACCCTAATTTTTTTTCAATATCATTAAAGTTTGAAACTATTTCAATTGAGTTATTCTCTTAAAAATAAATTTATAAATATCAAAATTAAAATTATTGATAACTAAATTTTATCCACCTAAAAGCTTTTTTTCTCTTCAAAATTTCTAATAACTTTCTCTCTCTTATCTCAATCTCGAGAGATTGGAAAGTTAAAAAATTAAAGTGTAGTACTAAAACATGAAAGGCTAGAAAAATATATTAATAATGAAAAAAACTTAAGGGATTAAATTAAAGTTTTGCATAACTTTCATGGAAAAGGGCTATGTTTCTTTCTCTATGTTAATGTTGTTCCTTCAACTCTCAATTTTTTTTAATAATAAGCTAAAACTTTAACTTATAAAATTGATCCATAATTTAATGCGAAATACCTCAAAACATAAAAGGCAAGTAAGAAAAAAGAAATGAAAAAAACGAGTTCAACGTATAAAATCATGAAAAACATAAATTCAAATGAGGAGAACAAGCTAGTATCTCATGGTATGTGTAGTCTATATTGACTTTTTTCGTCACATTAAACTCTGTGATTTCAAGAAAGGTAATTAAGCTCTTGATATTTTATATTAATTTGAGGTAAAGTTAGTCTCTTCTTTCAATTCCGTTATTTTCTCATTAAAGTCAAAATTATTAGCATAAGAGAGACAAATGGTGTTGATTGATCGATGCTGATTTTGGTCAAGTTTGACTGTTGACCAACCATATTTCGAAATTCAAATCGCAGTAACTTTTATTCATTTTGGTTTTTTAAACCATGCATAAATATTTATTTATTTTTATATTTTAAAATTATTTTTAAAATTATTTAATTTTTTTACTTTAAATTAATATTTTTTAATATTTTTAGATCATTTTGATTTGCTGATATCAAAAATAATTTTTTAAAAATAAAAAATATTATCTTAATATATTTTCAAATAAAAAACACATAAAATAACAACCATAACCGCGTACCAATATAACTAAATCTCTATATCACGACAGAGACCCCACAGCTATAACCAATATTTCAAATTGCTAGTAATCCCACCCCAAGCAATTCTCACTTGCACTCGCTTGTTTAAAACCGGAATTATAGTGTCGTAGTAGAAAAAATACTTAAGTGACGTGGATGAACATTATTTGAGTTGTCCCTAATTGACTAAATTAGGAAAGAGATATAATATCTTAAATAAATCATAATATCACACTTATAAGACCTAGCCGAGCGTAACAAGTCAACCCGTACGTTAACCTGTCGATTCAAGGTTTGGCCTAGATTTAGATAGTGAAAAAACCCGATTATTTTTCATAAAATATTTTAATTGAAGTTATTTTTTAAGAAATCAAAATCTAATTTCACCGGTTTATCTGAGACATGGGCTAGATGGACCCGCCGAATCAAAGTCTTATAACCATGAATACATCTTCTTAACGAGAATAGGTCAGAATAACAAAATGTTATGTAGTACGTAGAAAGTACGTTCTTGATATTAATTAATCAGTGCTGAACACAAAACAAGAAAATATAAAGAAAAGAGGTGAAATATTTTGTTTATTTCATTTCATTAAAATCCGATGCATTAATTTCATGGATTTTGAGAGTCTCGCCAAATTAGCCAAGGTAAAATGTATGTCCCTAATATATATATGCCCTTTTCCTCCATAAAAACACACCCACCCATACAACCACTTAACAATAGATCGAGGGAGAGTTTTTCGGATTTTTTTCAAGAAAAAAAACAAAATTATCCCAGAGTTTTTCGGATTTTTTTCAAGAAAAAAACTAAATTATCCCAACATACACACACACACACACACACACATGCATGCATATATACACGGTAATTGCTAGCAAAAGTAGAGCATGTGAAAGTGATTTGCTATCCGTTTGAGTCGTCAAAATTGTTTCACCATGCATGATCTCATGAAGCTTAATTAGCTAGCACACCTGCATGCTCAACTCAATTAATTTGGTGCTTTACTCCGAAACCAAAGCAAGAGTCAGTTCCAAACTAAGATCACTATCATCACCTTGTCCATTAAATTTGAAGACCTGGTCTGGCTCAACCCGACTCCACAAAGAATCCTCCACAGTTTCAGCAGCGAATATGCTATCCTCATCTTTGATACGACTATCCCCGTTTCCCAAATGACCAAGCCACGGCCCACGAACCGGTTCCCATCCCATCTCTCCCTGGTGAAGCCGGCCCGTTGGCTCAGCCAGTGAATTGGGCCTGGTGCCAGTGAACCGCTTGTACCGGGTTCTGCTCTTGACTTTGTTGAGTTCGGGAGAATTTTGATCCCTGGACACGTGGCGAATGTCGTAGGTGTTGAGGGAAGAGATCAAGTGTGGTGCTGGTACATCAGAAGAAGGAATTGATATGATGGGTAACCCTTTGAGCACTGCATCGACGGCTGCTTGGCACTGGGCCCAGTTACCTGACCAAAGCATGCCAACTGACCCATAGACCGGATTCACTATCCTGCCACACGCCTCATATAGCAATGAGCTAAATATAGCTGCACGCAAAGCCAAAAAAGCAATATCAGACCGAGCAATTACCGGAAAAAAAACTGTGCATGCTGTATATATTATACCTGGGCGGAGTCGTTGGGGCGCGGCTTCAATGAGGTTGATGAGGCCAGCACGACCATAGAACTTGGCCAAGAAGAGAGTGGCATTGGCTTGAGAATCAGTGGATTTGATCCATTGAAGACAAGGTCTAATGGTACAGTTGTCATTGCAACCTTTACGCAGGACCCTGCAGCCATTGCAGCTCATTCTCACGGGTAGCGTTTCTGAGCTAGAGGAGGGATTTTTGTGCGGAGATGGTTAGAGAGAGATAAGTAAGGAAGAGAGGTGGGGGAGTATTTAAGGGCAAGGGGTTGGTGGGTGAGTTGTGGAAAGAAGGAGGCGGCGCAGCGGTTTCCAAAGGGGGTGGTGTTTTGGGAGTGAAATTGAAAGCTAAAAACCAGGGATTTTGTTCCTAATCTTTTCTTGTTTGAGTAAGCTGCTTTCTTGGAAAAGCCTCTGATTCTCTTGTCTCATTAGTTGGCTAGGATTTTACCCTCCATGCATATACTTTATTACAGATGTACCATCATATCTTAAGAGCATTTTAATTACTGGAGAGCTCTCTCTCTCTCCCTCTCCCTCCCTCCCTCCCTCCCTCCCTCCCTCCCT